TTTACCCTATGGGTGACTGGAAGTCGCTTGAAGATCATAAACAAGAGAGTGACAAGGTTATATTTGCATTTGAATGGGAGCTCTGGCTGTGGAGGGAAGATACCGTAGAGTTTCAAGATTAGAGTTTGGGACATGAATTAGGTGGTTTCTCCAGATAAAGAGTAAGAGTTAAACTAAGGTAGTGGTCATAAGGAGACAAAAGAGGGGCCACATTTAAGAAAAAGTGAGAAGGAAAAATCAGCAGGGCTTGAAGGTCAATTACATAATAGTAGTGAGAGGTAAAAGTCCACGTGAAGCCCAGACTTGCAAAATGGATGAATAAGTGAGATTAGGAATAAAAGGTAATAGTAATTTTGGGGGTAGGAGAGAGGAATTCTATTTTGGATATCTCTTTTGGAGTACTTAAGAGATAGCTAGGCATACAATTCTGGTGCTCAGGGTTAGCAGGATGAGAGGCGTGGCCTTTGGCCTTTATGCCAGTGGACAACACACAGGAATGCAGAGTAAATTCAAATTCTTACAAAAGTCCTCCCTCAATGGGGGGACAGAATAGGAGAAGAATTTGCGACAAAGGATGATGCTAATAATAATAAGTACCATTTAAAGAGGCTTCGAATCCTAAGCAAGTATATTTATCCAGTACAACAGCTTTATTAAGTGGCTACCATTTATTGTCCGAACTTCACAATGAGGGAAATAGACCTTAGAGAGACAAAAGGGCTTTAACTGAAAACCACTGCTTAGTGACAACTAAGCAGGATCTGAACTGATGTGTGTGATTCTAAAGTAGCTGCTTTTAACTACTGTCCTCTTCTATGTATACATCTGGAAGACTTTTTTTGGCCTTTGTTCTTGGAGTTACTAAAACTTCATTGTAGCTCAAAGAATGAAATCCCTTTTGAGGGCAAACTTTCAAACCAGTTTTCCTAGCTAGGGCTGCCCCAGCCCAAATTTCTAGTGTCATTTGGTCTCTGACCTTTACAAGGGAGGGAAAGAGAGAGGGAGAGTCACCCAGTCAGCGAGTAGCCCATGATCTTTGGGTCTTCATGTCCAAGGGGCCTCCAGTCTGCAATCCGGAACAGAAGGCACAGAGGTTTTCCTTCTCGAGGACTGCAAGTTCCCAGGCCCGTCCTTCGGCCGAAACGCCGCGGCCGTTTCAGCACCATGGTCAGGGGCGCGCGGGGCAGCCCTTGGAAAAAACCTCAGGACTTGGGAGACTGAGTTTGTGGGGAAGATGCCCGCTCAGTCGGCCTTGGCTCATTGATCCCAGAAGCACAGGCAGTGGAGGCTGGAGGTTAGCCAGGAGTCTCCTCACCCCGAGGGTGTGGCTAAAGCGCCAGGAGAACTTCTTGGCTTTACCGGAATGCAGAGGACCTAGCTCCAGCCAAAGCGGACACAAACTACAGCCTGACGCGCTCCCCAGCACCCCCGCCCACGCCCACTATAGGCACAAAGTAAAGAGCACTAAACCGCCAATTAGAACGAGGGTCCCAGTCGCAGTTGGCTTCAATAACTCTCCGAGTGACTGAGGGTTTTGGGAAAGTCACTTGCCCTAGGACTTTGAGCCCTGTTTTCATGAATGTAGCCACTCTGCCTCCACCACATCACTCACTGGCTATAGGAGGGCACCTGAGCTATGGAGTGTCTGGCCTCACGTTGCCACTGCACCTTGCTCCTTGAAGATGGGGCGGGCGAGCTACCGAAAGACACCCTCCCAGCCCTTGAGCTCTGGTCTAGAGATTTTAAAAGGGGAGAAGGGGAAAGGTACACAATCAAGAATATTAATTACATGAATGCAAAGATGTAATTACATTGACCCAGCCCTAACTTTGCACTCCGTTCTCAGTCGCCTTCTCCCACCCTATTCCCAATGCCAGGAACCACAGGCCCGTCCTCCATCACTTCCAGTTGTGAGGGGCTTTGACTTCACTCACTGCAAGCAAGACCTTCCTGGAGGGACCCAAAAACTCAGTGAAAGAGTTTTAGGAACTCCTTCCAACTTCTCTGGTGAATTTGCTGGGGCTTGGAGACTTGTCCAAGGTCACACAGCCCAGCAGCCCATGGGGGAAGGGTTGGCCCAGGCCTCGCTAGCCTTTGTGCCAGCCCAGCGGCCTGGCTCCCAGACATTAGCATTCCAATGGCCCCGGGATGCTTTGTCCTCCGACGGAGGCCTGCTAGGGGGTGGGGTGGGATGGGGGCAGGGCACCATAAATCTACCTGCTTGTGTGTGAGGACCGGGCGAGGGTGGTGGTGGTGCTGGGAGGCACAAGATTCATGTGCTGTTTTCCTGGAAGCTAGGCTTTGACTCAGACAAAGACACAAGAAAGGGAAGAGCCTTTCAACCCAAGAGTCTTTCCTATCCCTGCTTGGGATGCTATCTGGGTTTCAGGGAGCTGGGGTTTGGATGGCTATCTCAGACTACAGGGAGCTCCTCAGCCAAGGCAGTGCAGGCAGAGGGAGCCTGAGAGAGCTCAAGGCTGCAGTGGTTTCAAAAGTCTCTGAAAGTAAAATGCTTGCTGAGCTGGTTGGACATGCCTCTCACGGAACTGTTCCGAGCCCTGCTTACTGACAGGCTCTTTGGAAAGAGGGAGGGAAGGCGTTCCTTGCCTCAGTGCAATTTCACATATTTCCACACGCTTTGATGGAGCTCACCCCCAGCATCCAGCCCTAAGTTCTGCAGTGATTAAACCGAACCCTTCCCCTACCTCTGGTTTCTCCTGACTTGGAGAGTAGGGTGGACAGTTTGTGCTCAATTCAAGGTAGCAGCTGAGTTAGTTAAATGGTATGTGTGTTTTAATTCGTGGGGCGGAGGACAAGTCCGTGTGCGCTGGGTGACTAATGGCTCCTTAATGAGCGCCCTAGAAAGCAGGAGAGGGGCTGATGGGGCACTGGGTGTCTTAGCTTCTGGGCTTGCAGCCTTGGAGACTGCAGAGCCTACAGATGCTCACCCAGCTTCAGAGGGTCCTCCAGCCTAGTTGAATGCTGTTTCCCACAGCCTTGCACTGGAAGAAGGACCTTCTCCAAAGAATTCTTCTCCAAACTTTAATCCTGGCCTAAAGACCACCCCGTCGGGCTAGTTTCCCGTAATCCAGACCCAGGTGATTTATGGGTTGGTGGCTCCTACTTCCATTGAACACCACTATTTCTTTGGTCTTAAATAATTTCGTATTCATGCCACCGTCTTGCTTTTTCCGTCTGTCTACACCCTTCCCCCAGTGCTCAGCCGGCAGCAGGCGTTTGCTTGGTCTGTGCAACACAGAGCTGTCCACCCCAGCCCCAGGCAGTGTCCCAGGTGGAGAGCTGTTTGTTGCAGAGTCACCAATAACCCATTAATCTCCTCCTCCCAGACTAAAGCCTTGAAATGAAACTTCCCTCTGTCCATTCATTTGCTTGCTGTGTGTCCCCCTTCTTGCCCCCAAGTCCTGCCCCTGATAACTAACACATAGCTCCTGCAAGCTACCTTTAGGGGCTTGGGAATTGAGGAAAGGGAAAGTTGAGTTTGAAGGGTGGGGGGAGGGAGGAGAGGAGAGGGAGAGGGGGAATAAGCTTAACTCTTGAGAAGCCACAACAAGCACTCTGGTGTACCGGACTTCGACCTTGCTCCCGGCCCCTGATGGAGTTTCCTGAGGCCCTAGAGGTCCCCCGTGCCAAGCAGGGGCACTCCACTAACCCCCTCAGGATAGGTTTCAGTGCCTATGGGGAACCAGCCCGGTTCCTCCTTGGGAGTAAGAGCAATCACATAGCTGGAGGCTCAGAACACTTCCCTGATAAATTTTCAATCAAGGCTGCTAATGTTTGCATTTAAGGCTCTGGGCTGGGCCTCTAAGCACTTCAGGAAAATTCTGGGAATCCCAGGATGCTAGGACTCTGACTCTATGACCAATTACTCCCTCCCCTTAGTACAGGCTGATAGAGTAGGGGAAAGACAGCAGTTGGAGTTCTTTCTTCTAAATCATTGTTTGGAATAAGGCAAGTTGCTACACTATAATGAAAATAAAAGGGCCGGACCACACAAGAGACTTCCACTCTCAGAATCCAATCTGGCACCCCCCAGCTCGGCACCCAAGGGATGGGACAAGACCCCCCCCCCCCAGTCTCATCCGTTTCCTTGAACAGAGGTGCTCCCTCCTCAACTGGAGCGGCTGCAACCTTCTGCTGCACAATTGAGTCACCTTAGTGATGATTCTTAAGGATCTATCTTTTATTGGCTCAAAAATCTCATTCACCAGTCCCCAATAATCTTATGTACAAAATATAGACTTTTCCTGCCATGAAATCTCATCAATAAATACAAACGTGTAAAACAGGGGAGGGGGCATATAATTTACCATAACAAAATTCATTTAAAGAGATATTAGATAGTTCACACAAGCTGATTATTTTTAAATGAAGCGCGCGGAGCTCTAGCCACCTGCCACTACAGCTCACGTTTCTGCGGAAGGGCGCAGGGAAGCTGGGGAGGTCTGCTAGGGCTTTCGCAGTGCACAGCCTGCTCATCCGTTCCCGTGAGGGCAAAGGCTCCTAAAAGTGCAGGCGGAGAAGGCAGGAGATTGCCTTCGTGGATTAAGGCAGAATGGAGCGGCCCAGAACCCGGACTTGACAGGAAGTCAGCGGCGTCTTTACAGCAGGGCAAGGGAGCAAGTGCGAAGAAACCAAACGTTAGGGTTAACTCACACTGAGGGAGGGGTGGTAAAAGATGGCGAGGCAGACGGACAGGCTTGAGTGAGGGTTGGGAGACCGAAGACCGAGACCGGCCTTCTCTGGTTGTCTAGTGCTACCGTTTCTCGTCTTCTTTGAACAAGGTTTTGGAGTGGCCAAAGATATGAGACCGAAAATACGGGTAACCTGCCATGGCCACTCCCCGAGGGCAGCGCCAAAGGTCGCGGAGGGCAGGACCTGCAAGGGTCAGCCAGTGAGAGGCAGGAAGAGCCGCCCACCTCCGACAGCTCCGGCTCCCTCCCCCGCTTCTTCACCCAAGACCCAGAGACTGGCTGCCCCCTTCACAGGCAGTCTGCGAACGCCAGGGCGCCGGAGTGCAGGCAGGCTGGAGAGGTAGGCGCCCGCAGCCCGGGACGCTCCTCTAGAGAGGCGGCGGGGCTCAGGCTGCCAGCGTGGGAAACCGGGGAGTAGAGGGAGCCCCAGTCCCCAGGGGAGCCGCCCTCTGGACTGCCCAGCTCCGCGCAGGACGCCGCGGGCGCTTCCGGTCGATAGAAGATGTGGTCCGCTAAGCGCAGCGTCTGAGTCAGCGCCCAGATGTAGTTGTGTGCGAAGCGTAGAGTCTCGATCTTGGTGAGCTTCGCTTCGTCGGGGAAGGTGGGCAGGACACCGCGCAGCGCGTCGAGTGCAGAGTTGAGGTTGTGCATCCGATTGCGCTCGCGGTCGTTGGCCTTCTTGCGACGACTCCGTCTCTGCTTGCTCAGCGCCAACTCGCTCTTGGGCCGGCTGCGCCCTCCGCGCCGCGCGCGCAGCTTCCTTGCAGCCCCTTGGCAGCCTCCTGCTTCTGGCTCCGCACGGTCCCGTGGAGTGAGCGTGGGGCTGGGTGGGGCAGACGCGGCGCTGAGTATTTCGTTGTCTGAGGCTCCAGGGAAGGGCTGCTCGGTCTCGCGGGTCACTCGGATAGAGGGCGCACCCAAGGGCTGAGGCGCCATCCTGAGGCGGGGTAAAAAAGAAGGGTAAGCGTGGATCAGTTAACCCGAACTGTCCGCAATTCTGAGGCCGGGTGGAAAAAAATACATATCGAGGAAGAAATCCTACCCCTCAAGACCCTTTTCCCTTGCCCGCCCCTTAGGGCTGCCAATTGTTACCTATTAATCCAGGCTCAAAAGAATGGAGCGGTGCGGCTCAGAGTGCAGAGCGGAGCTGAGTCGCTCTGGCTCACAATTTATACGGAGCCGCAAGTCCTCCTGCTTGGAAGTTGCCCCAGATCCAGAGGAGAAGAGCGGCTCAAAGGAGTCCTGGGCCTCTGTAGCTCTCTCCGCCCGGGGCTGAGGCCGCAGGGATTTCCAGAGCCACAAGTCGTGTGCCCCTTGGCACGCTTTATCTGCTCTCCCTGGGCCAGGAGCGTGCCTGCCCGGCTGCTGCCCGCGCCACTGGCCAATCAGCGCCAAGGCCTCGGGGCCTCGCCACGCGAGCCTGCTCCTCCCCCCGCGAGGCACAGCTGGATTCCGGACAAAGGGCTGGGGTCCGGGGAGGGGAGCTCCACTCTGTTTGCTCAGTCCCCTGGGCTTGGTCCCAGCAACTCTCGGTTCTTCAAAGAGCCTCGCCCAGGAAGAAGAGCCCCGGCTGGCGCGCGTCTGGCCTCCCTGGACTTCTTTGCTCCTTCTCATCTTTCCTGGGCACCGTCCAGACCTCTCGGTACCCTGGAGGGGGCTTTGAGGAGCCTGTAGGGGTCAAGTCCTGAGTGTTACACTCCGGAAATGTAGGCTTTCTGAGAATGCAGCTCGCCCCAAAGCAGCAGGCAAGACTGGCAGAGACAGAACAAGGAGCCAGGTCCTGACTAGCAGCTTGGAGAAGCAAGCACTAAATCTAAATGCAATGGGTCAAGTTACATGGGGTCCTGTTTCACTGACTCCATTCTGGAAGGGAGGTGAGGTTGACCTCCGAAAGAGGTTCTGCCAATGTCCCTTCCATTCAGAGACTTTCGCCCCCCGGGTGTCCAAGTCCCTCTTGAGACGCTTTCTCGATCCCCAGACACTGAGAACCCCCACTCCATCCCTACTCGAAACCTGAGACATTTGAGCCTGCAGAGGCCAGGGTGGCTGTCGTGGGACTCCAGAGAATACATTCTACCCCTGCCACTCACGGACAGCTTCCTAGTGTTCAGGCCAGGGCCTAGGTGGGGAGTGCTCAGGGAAGTCTGAGGGGTCAACAGGGGGCCAGGAGTTCACAGTGAGCCCTTCTGTCTTTTGAATGCCCACAAGAAGCCAGCAGATCAACTCTTTCTCTCCTCTGTTCTCTTGTCCAATCACAGGAGAGAAAGGGCTGTCAGACTTCACCTGGGCCAGCCCCCTGCCTCAGCACCATTTGGATGGGGGGCACAGCACAAGGCTGGCATCCTTCAAGGCCCCACTTTGTCTCTCTTAACACTGGCTGGAGATCTTTCCAAGTGATTCTGAAGGCACCATCCCCCCTGACTTTCCCTGCCCCTTCCTCTTATCAAGCCTCAGACACTCCCTGGTCTTCTGCTTCTGGTCGCTCAGGGTGAGGGCTTGTGCTTCTGCCCATCCCTCTTAGGGTGATGTGCCTGGGGGAGGAAGCAGAGCCCAGGGTTAAGCCTCCATAGGCAGCAAAATTTGCTTTTTAACAGTTCCAGATACTTCTACCCTCCCAGCAACTGCAGGAGGGGCCAGACCCAGCTGGGAGACTAAGGAGATGGAGTGAGGGGGCCAGATAGGTCTGTGATTCTGTCTTGGAGATGGGCTCTCATTGCAAATTCTGCTTGGGGGCTGAAATTTCCTCCTAGGCAGAGGATGAGATATTTGGGCATCAGTGGGTGGAGCCTCTAGGACTGAATTAGGGTGCTGTTCTGTGGATCTCAGTTGGTAGCTGTGAGCAGAGGGTCCTTTCTTGGCTGCCTGGAAATGAACTCTGGGGTCAAGGTCAGGACTGACAAACACCTCGTTCACGTGATTCTTGGGTCCCATATTTTGTTGCAGCTCTTCCCTTATGTCAAGAAAGTGTGAACTGCCTGCCCTTTTTACAGATGGAAAAGTCAGGGCCCAGAGAGGGAAAGTGATTTGTCCAAGGTTGCATTGCCAGTGCTATCATGGAATGCAGATCCTAAGACTCCTAGGTCTAGGTTTTCACATGCACCTGCTGCCAGCCATGGATTTCTGTCCCAAATTTGGAAAACAGAGGAAGTCCTGAATCTGTGAGGAATGACAAGGTCAGATTAGAAGAGGAGTAATGGTCCAGAACCCCAGGCAAGGGGAGCTGCCTCCACTCACACTCTTATCGTTCTACTTTTCTGCCCCACATTAAAGCCTTGCTTCATTTATACCCCTGCACAGTAGGAATAGGGAGAGGAATCTCAAAGCATGCTCTCCTAGGGGCCTGGGATCCTTCCAGGCTCTGTTGAGAGAGCCTTGGCTAAGAGACTCTAGCACCCCTCTGGTATCCTGGGTACCTGGAAAGAGGCCCACCGTGGTGACCCCCATCTGGCTGTGAACCTCCAGTGGCGGCGGGGCTTGCCTTGGTTGGGGTCTGCCCTGAGAAACTGGTGAGTACTGGCCAGGGCGCAGAGCCAGCTTCCTGCGCCTGGGAAAAATCTGGGAATTCTTGCAAAAATTTCTTGATTGGTAGCGAATTCCGGGACCCGCTTGGCATTGTTATCCAGACTCCCCATCCTTGCGCCGGCTCAGAGCCCTCCAGGGCTCTCAGGCCGCCGACACCTGCTTTGCGCAAAAAGCAGTCAGGGCGAGGAGCGCGCAGCGGAGAAGCTGCCCTTGCCATACGCAAAGGATTTTCCGAGTCTCCACTTCTGGCCCAAAGACCCGGACCCGATGTTCAGGAGTCTCAGAGGTTTAGGGACGGAGAACCCATACCCGGTATCTCAGCTGCAGCGCAGGCACAGACCCCTCTCCAAAGTTAATCCTGTGCTTTAGCAGCGGAGGCGCAGGCGTTGGTCGCGCAGGACGCGCTAGTTGTGTTTGTGAAACTGCTCTTCCCGCCGGGATCAGAGCCTATTCCTACAGCCCCGAGTAATTCACTGCCTCGAAGGTCCCTGGTATTCCCGTGTCCCTGGGCCTTCTGGGACCAACCCTAGCCTGAAGGCTGAGGGGGTCCAGGAGCGAGGCGACAGAGAGACGCCTGGAGACCGGGGGCAGATTGGAAGAGAAGGAAGGCAAAGGCTGGCCCTGCCGCTTTCCTGTGGGCGGGGGGAATCTCAGCATCGCCTGGGGGCTCTTTGAGAATCGACACAGGAGGGGGGGTCAGGGGAAGCTGAATAGCTAATGGCTTGCCAGAGGAGGGGGCTTCTTTCTCTCGCCTTCGCTTCGGCACTGAAAGAGGGGAAGACAAAAATCTGGCGAGCGAGCTGCCCGGGCCGAGACTGGCCACTTCAAACAGCCCTTCAAACAAAAGGAGAGGACGAAAAGAAAGCCCCACCTGTTTCCAGTGTTTGCTAAAATAATAATAAATAGATTTCGTTTAATAAATAATTACAAGAGATTGTAAAGTGGAGTGCTTTGGAAAACATCTACTGAGGGAGTCAGTGCAGCCAGCCGTCACCTGCTCCCAAGGCGGACAACTTTATTGTTAAGCCACCCCCCAACTAGTTCGCCTCTGATAAACTCTCCCTCGTTTTCACAATGACTGTTTACTCATAGTTAGCACAATATTACCTTTGCCGTGATAAACCCGGAGGGGGGAGACCTGGCCCCTGGCCCCTGGGCACACCTGTCCCAGAAGCTGACACATGGATTTGGCACCAAGCTGGCTTCCCCCCCGGGGGCCCTGCCCCCGTGTACATTGGCCCAATTGCCACTCATTTATAACAGGTTGGCTGCAAGGCCTATCTCGGTCCTATTTGTCTTCTTTTATTGAAAGCATATGGTCTCCAGGGGCTCACCATCCCCATATTTCATCTGCCAGGAGCTGGGGCGCTTCCGCAGGCTGGTGCTGCCCAGCGCACTGCTCCCCACCAGCTGCTGAGCCAGCTGAAGTGATGGCAAAGGCTGGGTGGGGAGAGATAAGGTAGGCTCCTCTTAGGCTTTAGGAGAGAAACCGTTCCCTTAGAGGTTCCCCCCTCCCCAGGCCCCGGGACCTCGTGCGCTCTTGAATGGGTGGCTGGTTCCTTTTCTTGGGTAGGTGAGAGGGCGCCATATGTTACCCTGCCCCCTCCAGGGCGCACGAGGGAGCTTCGGTTCAGGGAGTCCTCCAACAAAGGGAGGAGAGGGCCCTGACGCTCCGGAGCGCCAAAGGTCTTTATTTCTAGATCCCCCTCCTTGCCTAAGGCCGCCTTCCCCGGGCGTTTGACTCTCTCGCGCAGCGCCTGGAAACAAAGTGTCCACATTATTGCTGCCGGCTGGGGAGATCGTGAATGCGTGAAAAGGTGCATTGCGCTCCAAGACACCTGTTGAAAAGGCGCCTCTTCTCAGCGCCTCTCTCTGCTCTATGCTCAGTCAGGAGCTGTGCGGGGAGTGGGGGCTAGGAGGAGGGAGAGAAACTGTGATTTGTGGCGACATATGTTGAGCAGGTCGGTGTGTACTCTTCACAGGCATACACGCACCCTCACTCCCACACACACCCCGAGAGAAGGAGCAGCTGCTCGCCTCACCTTCTTCCGACATAATACCTGGGCCAGGCGCTTTGGCCTCGCCTTTTGAGACCCTGGCTTTCCCCCAACCCTCTGTCTTCCGCCTCCTCCCCATCTTGGCAGCTTCGTTGTAAGACTTTATTGTCAAATTTAACAGATGCACATTTGTTCCCAGCGCCCACCCCAACACACACACACACACACACACACACACACACACACACACACAAGCATCCACAGAAAACGTGCCTGATGACACAGATGCGGAGCACAAGATGCCCATATGTCCAGCTCCACGCACACCCAGGCTGGGGAAACAAACCGGCTGTGTGATTTTCCCTCCCCAGGAAGAAATAAACAATGGAAGCCAGAGGGGTGGGCGGACACCTCCAG